TGACAGAAGAAATAGCTAAGCAAAGTGCTGAGAGCACTGTTTCTCTTGACTGTTTATAGGAAAACGTGAGGAGAGATAAACAAAGATGGAATTTATAATTAAAGAGGAAGCTGATCTTCAAGATTTGGAAAGTTCTCAGCCTGGCACATTTACTGCACTTGATCTTAGCCAAAAGGCCAAGAAGTGATAACCTGGCAGAGTTGTATCAGTGTGTTAAAGACAGAATACTAAGGATATGTGCAAGCTATTGTTTGATAATTGTAGCACGGATAGCAGGAAGCAGATGCTGTTTATTGAGACATGGAAGAATGGTCCTCAAGGCATTTTGCAGATTATCAGTGTTGCCCCTCCCATCAAAGGCCCACAGTGCCAAGGCCTGGAGGACAGGACTATGGTAAAAGCGGGCCGTAGAGTACTCACTGAGTATTCACGGGAACTCAACATGTGCTTCCCTGTGCCACCTCACATTTCTGCTCTCTCACGGTGAATTTGAGTGCAATGCTCTTCAGTCACCTGCTGTTGTTCAGGAAGATCACACTGCATTTCTGGAAGGTGTTGCCCATAATCCTTGATGGTGACTATATGGTGCTGGTTCTGTAGGTGCTCAGCATAAACAGTATAAGCTATGGAGGCATGGTTAACCCACCTGGATTTCAGAGGATGCTTCAGAGGAGGCTCAGGGCCCTGGCAGTGAACTGTGTCCCTAAGAAAGCTCTTACTAGGGCAGTGCTTAGTGGAGCCATGTGAGCAGGACCAATATAGAGAGCCCCTAAAGAGTAATGTCTTTGGAGCTGGGAGGGTGGGTCCAGCCCTGAGAGCACAGACTTGCAGAGCCTTGTGTTACCCTTGTATTACTCCAATCTGTGACAGCTGCTAAATGAACTGTATCCTCGGGGCAGGATCCACCTGAAGTGTTGGGAACACAAATTCCACCCTGGAGAAGGAGAACATAATGAATACAGAACATAGTGTCAAAGAATATCATTTTTAATCCTCAAGATTTAAGAGGCATACTTACTTGAAACTTATTACCAGTTTCCTGTGTCTGTTTCTCCCTTCTGAAATGGGACTATCTAACCTATGCCTGTCCACTCTTGTATTTTGGAAGCACATCATCTGTTCAATTTCACAGGCTTGCAGGTGGAGACAGATGTTAGATTTACATGATATTTATTTTTTTATTTTTATTTTCAAAGTAAAAGAATAAAAACAAACAGCAAACAGACAACCATTTACAAAGTAGCACAAGAATGGTACAAGCAATACTGAATTACAGACCAGGTGGCAGGGAATTAACAATGGTTGTTGTATTACATACTGATAACTTCAAAGTGGTTACTCAGGAAAACAAACGTAGACATGCAAGATTGATCAAATAATTAATCATTAACTGTTCCTTTCAATAAAGTAATATAAATCAGTAGTACAACTATGTTAGCCATCCTGTATATACACATATACATAATTTTTCCCTTCTTTCCCTTCTCTTTTCCCTCATCCCAGTCGCTATTTACTTTTGAGCAGTTTCCTTTCATTTCACAATGTTTATCATACCTCCTAATTTTTATTCATTCTTTCAGGTTCTTACACTAGTGAGACAATGTGTTGCTTGGACATACATGGACTTTAGACTTTTGAGTTGATGTTGGAATTAGTTAAGGCTTTGGGAGTTATCAGAATGGAAAGGACATTTAATGTATAAGAAGGAAGTGGACTTGGGGGATCAGGGCAGAGTACTAAGTCTGAATGTTTGTTTTCCTCTAAAATTCAGCTCGGGACTCATTCAGTGTCCAAAGTTGTAGTACTAGCAGGTAGGACCCTTACGAGGTAAAGAGATCAGGAGGGCTTCTCCTTCGTTAATGGGATTGTAGCCCTTATAAAAGAGGCTTCACATAGTGAGGCCCTTTTTTTTTTTTTTCCTTGTGCCCTCTATCTTCTGCCTTGTGAGGACACAGAATCTGTCCCATGCAGAGGACGCAGTAACTAGGTACCACTGTGGGTACAGAAAGCCCGTACCAGGCAGCAAGCACCTTGATCTTGGAACTGGCAACTTTCAGAACTGTGAGAAATACATTTTTGTCATTTATAAATTACCCAATTTTTTTTTGTCATAGAGAGGTAGACTGAGGAATTTGCTAAAAATTAATATCTAAAAGTGTCATGTTCTCCTAATATTTGCTAAAAGAGTTAGAAGGTGGTAAATATTTTATAATCTGTAAAGAAAGATTAAGGTTTTTAATTAGAATACTTTGTGATCTTATTTGGTAATATATGTTTTAGTATCTTATGGAACAACATGCAACTGGAAGAAAATGATTAAAATTTAATCCATGTGTTTTAAAATATTATGAATAATTTGAGAAGCCTGTAAGTAATCCATTTGCATTTTAAAAATTGTGATTATACAACTTTCAGAATGATATTAAGAACTTCATGAGCCTACTCCCCAATCAAATGACCCACAGTTGGTAAAAACTGCACATTAAAACAAATCTCTGGAAATTGTCCTATAGGCATACAATTAATGAAGTAATATCCAAAAATGTTTACTAAATCGCAGTAAGAACAGCAAATCTGTGGTATGTGGGCCACCATTCTTTCTTTTACAACATCTTCATGTGGCAGAAGCCGCTGTACTCTAAATAGATGAGCCACGTCTTAGAAAAATAAGTTGGTCCTTTTCTTCATGTTATTAAATACAAAAATTAACTTAATATGTATCAAAGAATGAAATGTAGGAACTAAAACTATAAAACTCTTAGAAGAAAACTTAGGTTATACAAAGCTTTCTTAGATATGATACCATAAAAAGCAAGAAAATAAAAAGTTCATGGATTTTGTGTCAAAGAATACTATAAAGCAAGTGACAAGACAACCCACAGAATGGGGAAAATATTTTCAAATTGTATACATAATAAAGCATTTGTATCTAGAATATATGAAGAACAGTTAAAACTCAATGATATAAATACAACTTTTTAACAAAATGGTTAAATATTTGAATATTTTTCTAAGAAGATGTATCAGTGACCAATGCACACATGAAAAGTGATGTTACCCTTAACTATTAGGGAAATATAAATCAAAACCAAACCATATATCACTTTGTACCCACTAAGATGATTCCTTTTTTTCAGATTAAAGTAGTGATAACAAAGTTGACAGAAATGCAGAGAAATTGGAATTTTTATATGTGCAGCTAGGAATATAAAATGATGCGGCTATTTTTGGAAACAGGCATTTCCTCAAAATGTTATAGATGGAGTCATCATATAGTCCTGCTATTTCAATGCTAGGTATATATGAAAGAATTGTGAAAATATGCATCTAGATATATAAAAATGCTTACCTTAACAGTATTTATTGTAGACAAAAAATAGAACCAACTCAAGTACCCATCCTCTGACAAATGGAAAAGTAAAATATGATATATCTATACAATGGAATGTTATTTGTCCATGGAAAAAACCGTGAAATACCATTACATGCAACAGCAAGACAAACCTGGAGAAGATAACAATTGGAAGTCATCAATGAAGATCACATATTGAATGGTTCTGTTTACATAAGATATCAAGAATAGAAACGAGGTGTATCAGTGACTGTAGAATTGGGAGTTTAGGAGAAAATGATAAGTCACTGTTAAACAGTATGTATTTGTTTTTTGGATTAATGAAATATTTTAAAATTGATCATAGTTATGGTTGCACAACTGAATATACTAACCTATTGTAAAACTTAATTGAACTATGTGCTTAAAGTGATGAATATGCTGTGTGAATTAAATCTCAGTAAAACTTTTAAAAATGTGATTCTACTGTTTTCTGTTTTGAATTTTCAGTAATAAGTTTTCTTTCCAGCTAATGACAAATCCTGGAAATATATTGAAAGTAACTAAATGCTCTGTGTTTCAAGTTATTTTTTCTTCAACTTCTCACTAGTATTCTCTTTTCTTTGATGCTATGAGACCTTTTCCTGAGAATGACAAGATGGAAGAAGAAAAATTTGCAGCACATCTACTACACTCGACCATTAATTTAAGTTGTAATCACCCCAACATGGACCCGTGGCACTTTTTCTAATGCCCCGTCTGTTATTTTTCTATTATTGTAACAAATTATCACAAATCAAATGGCCTCAGTTGATTTCCTGTATATTAGCCAGTTTTTCCAAAGGTTACAAGTTTGACACAGAAGTCTTTTAATTATAATTCAGATGTTTGTAGGGCTTCATTTCCTGTACAGACTTGTGTTTCCCAGTTTCCTGAAACCATCTGTTTTTTTGGGTCGTGTCTTTCCTCCTCTATGTATCATAAATTGAAAATGCATTTGTTACACCTAATACACTGACCATCATAGCTTAGCCAAACAACGCTGTAAAGTACTGGCTGTTTACAGTTTTGATCATATGGGAGACTGAGAGTCAAGGCTGACTGTCTCTGCCACCATTGAAAGACAGTATCTACGTCATCAACCTGCGTCAAGATCAAAGTTCGAAGTAGGGATTGTACTGAATGCCTGTTCAGTGCTACCTCAGTTCAAACGCTTAATTTGTTCCATGATTTTGGAAAAGATGGCCATGTTGTGCTTGTATGGGAAACATGGCTGCGGTTGTGTTTGTCACCTGATGTAGAGTTTGCAAAGAAAAACAAAATTTTGTCAAACTCTTTTGTTTGCAAACCAGTCCATTTACAAGCAAAGCATTCATGAACCAGGGCACCACTGTATCACCTCCATACCACTGTAAAGCTGAACTATCAAAAGTCAGGGACCAGTTGTATCCCCAAATTTGTGAGGTACCAAGCTATTTCTAAAGTCTATGAAGTGGATGTTTTCCCTGAATTGTAGGTAACATTTTGATATTAATTATAAGTTGGTTTAAAAATCTTTCCAAAAATAAGATACATTTTAACAAAATATGCAGTCAATTAGGAAAGCAATGACTTGTCATTAAATATAATCAGTGAATACACTGAAATGTTTTTTTTTTTTTAACTGTAGATATCACACTTCAGAAAGACAGTCAGGAAGGAATTCCATCCCCGACTCAGAGTCAGGAGCCTTTGAAACCTCAGGAGAATATATCACGCCCCATTCACCATCCTTTAGTTTTAAAAACTAACTTTGAGGAAGAAGAGGAGGAAGAAGAGGAACAAAATGGTTAGTAAACACTTTCTGGGATTACAATGCACATTTTAAAAAACCTCACAATATTTTCTACATACTTAAATGCTAAGAGATTCATCCTATAATAGATGACATTTTTATGAGAAAATTTTTTCTAATAAATGTAATTCAATGTTTTCTGATTTGTTGCATGTCTACATATGCTTATGATCATTTGGACTGGAAAGCTAAATTTATGTATGATGGCTGGGAGGCAGATCTCATGTTTAAATATGTACAGATGCTTGTAGAGATATTAATAAGCTCTCTTATTTATGTTTAACAACTCTCATAAAATACAGTGATGCCCATGTATGTTTATCTGCTTATTTACATATCTATTAATCATGTATTTGTCATACATTTAACCATTAGAGTTATGAAAGGTTTTAGAGTAATTTCTTTTTTTATTTTAAAGAATAAAAACACAATAAAATGATACAGAATTTCAAAACAAGATGATGGGAAATTAACAATGGTTGTTATACTGCATATTGTTATCTTCAAAGTAGTTGCTCAGATTACCAGATATAGGCGTGCAAAATTGATCAAACAATATAAGCACTAGCTGTTCTTTCAATGAGCTAATAGAAATTAATAGTACAATTATCTTAGCTATCTTATGTGTGTGTGTGTATATATATATAT